AAATAACTATTTAAATATATTGTTTAAATGTATTATTATTTTATTATTTTATTGTATTGAACCTGCTATGAATATATTATTATATTATAAAATGGAATAGTAAAAACTATGTTATCTATATTTATATTATTATTTATATTATTATTATATTTATAAATATAATATAATATATAATATAAATATAATAGAGATATAATAATTATGATTATATAATTATATAATTATAATAATAATTATATATAATTAATAATATAATTAATTAATAATATTAATAATAATTATAATTATAATTATAATTATATTTATATTTTTATTTATATTTATATTTATATTTATTTTAAACAATTATTTATTTTAAATAATTATTTCAATATATTGTTTAAATATATTATTATTTTATTATTTTATTATATTGAACCTGCTATGAATATATTATTATAAAATAGAATACTAAAAACTGTTAATAATATGTTATCTATATTTATATTATTATTTATATTATTATTATATTTATAATTATATTTATAATTATATTTATAATTATAATTATATTTATATTTATATTTATATTTATATTTATTTTAAACAATTATTTATTTTAAACAATTATTTATTTTAAATAATTATTTAAATATATTATTTAAATATATTATTACTTTATTATTTTATTATATTGTATCTGCTATGAATATATTATTATATTATAAAATAGAATTTAAAAACTGTTAATAATATGTTATCTATTGTTAGTTATTATTTTATTGTATATTTATTTTCTATATTTTATTTAATTATTTATATATTTTATTCAATTTATTTAATTATTTAATTACAGATTTATTTAATTATTTTATCTATTTATTATAATTGTTTATAAGTATTTATAGTATATATTATATACAACTTAAAATAAAATTTAAAATAATAAATAAATCAATAAAATTTATTATAATAATTATAATATATAATATGCATAATAAAACAATAACTAACAATAGATTATAACACCTATTATTAAGATGATTATATATTCTATATAACATTATAAAATTTTTAATAATTTATGTATTTATAAAGAAATTTAAAATAATATTATATAATTTTATATCTACCTAAATTTTAATATTATATAATACTCTATAATATGCGATGCATCAATATAATAAATATATATTATTTAATATATATTTTATAAATATTATATGGTATTTTTATAATATATAATATCTATTTATAATATATATTATTTCATAATATATTTATATTATATATATAATATAATATTTACATATTATAACAATGTATAATTTTATAATAAAGTTACAATATAACTACTTATAATATTCAAAAATATAATTTAATTATTTTTTATATCATTACATAGTATACAATATATATTACATAAATATTATATGTTATTTATTTCATAAAGAATATATATTTCTTTAATATATATCCTATAATATATATTTATATATATATTTATATATATTTATATATATATGTTTATATAATATATATATTTAATATATATCCTATAATATATATAATATATATAATATATATTATATATATTTTATATATATTATTCTTGTATATACAATATAAGAATAAATAATTCTACAATAAAGTTACAATACAACTACTTTTAATACTAAAAAAAATTATTATATTTATATCATTATATACTATAAAATATATACTTTATAAATAATATTATATTTGTTATTGATTTAATATCTACTTTATACGTTTCATGATATATTATAAAATATTAAATAAAATATAGAAATATTATAAAATTATATCTAATATATATTTTATAAATAATATATAATAGCTATCGTTTCATAATATATATATATTATAATAATATATATTATAAATTATTATGGTATACATATTATAGTAGTTTATAACTCTATAATAATATAGAGAATATATTATATTCTATAATATATATTTAATATATATTTAATATATATTTAATAAATATTTAATAAATATATTAATATATATAATATATATTTAACATAAACATAAACATAAACATAAATATAAATATAAATATAAATATAAATATAAATATAAATATAAATATAAATATAAATATAAATATAAATATAAATATAAAT